CCCTAAACCCTAAACCCCCTGGACCCAAAACCCAAAACCCCGAACCCTAAACCCTATCATCAACAGTAACATTTATATCGTAAAGCCCTCTGACACCCTATTCTAATTATTAAGGCCCTACATTATAGAACCCTCTTATAGTATATCCCTATAGAACCCTTGACAGGAATCCTTTAAGGATTCCTTTAGAGGAACCCTATCCTAATTATTGAAGCCCTATGACCTGAGGCACTAGCAGGATCCCGGGTTCGGCGTGCCGCAGCTCTCGCAGATCCTTGGGTTTAGGGTTTAGGGTTTAGGGTTGAGGGTTTAGGGTTTCCGTCGGAGGCTTTCGGATGCAGTTGTTTCCTTAGTTTAGGGTTTAGAGTTTAGGATTTTTTGTTCTAAAGGTGTTTAGGGTTTAGGGTTTAGGAGTTATGTTTTACAGGGGTTTAGGGTTCAGGATTTAGGGTTTGGGGCTTAGGGTTTGGGCAGCTCACTTTAAGAAGGCAATGTAGCGGCCTCCACAATTGCAATACTAGGGTTCTGGGCCGGTCTGGTGATTTATTTTGCCAACAAAGTGACTATACGGAGATTCGAGTATTTCCAAAAAACAATGTAGTTTCCACGTGTTTACAGCTTATGTACTGACAGGCCTGTTGACGAGCTAATGCGGAGTAGTTTCGAGACCAGCAAAAGAACCATGTCTTGGCGATCTATACGTACTACATGTACTGCACCACCACCACCACCACCACCACTACCACCACCACCCCCACCCCCACCACCCCCACCCCCACCACAGCAACATGCCACCGACAACAGAATCAACAAACCAAGCACTCAGCCAACCAACCAAATATTTGTCACGGATTACTTTTCCCAGCTTACCCTTCAAACGTCCGATGATCTCTCCGGCAGGGCTAGAAAAGCTCTCTTGCTTGATGCCCTGTCTTCCCGCACAGGCGACATTGAAGCCTGTTGACCTCATAGGCAAAATTGAAAAGAATTACGGTAGTTAGGCTGGCCATCTGAAGACTGTGCTGATCTTCGCAGATGACGCACATGCCACAGTTTTATACCGCTTACGGCAGCAGCAAGAGCAAAGCGCGTACCACGCTACCACTATAACTACTCTTAGTACTACGACGACGACTACTACAACTATCTTTGATTTTCAATCGCACCCCAAGGCCAAACCCTCCTCGGAACCCACAGCGCATGGAGTTTGTGCGACTCAGTGCAGCAAACTTCCCCTACCGCTCTCTGGTGCACGACCATTACAACCACCTCACGCAGAACCGATGGCTCGCAAAGCACCCTTCCAACAACCACAAGCTAGAAAAAACACACCCACCAAAACCAACCCTAAACCCTAACTCTACACCCTAAACCCTTAGCCTCATAAACAAAGTACTGTCAGATCTCCAGAAAGCGTGCACAGAAAGACACACGAAAGCTCAAGAGCTGAAACATCTAAAGTGCTTAGGGTTTAGGGTTGAGGGTTGGGGTTTGGGGTTCAGGGGTTTAGGGTTTAGGGTTTAGGGTTTAGGGTTTAGGGTTTAGGGTTTAGGGTTGAGGTTTGGGGTTCAGAGCTCAATGTTCCGGGGCCATAAAACGGAAGCCTCGCATAGCGTAGGGCACGTGAGATAATGCAAGGTTTTGACCCATCTGCAGCACCAACAGCTCCAACACTTACTTACAGACCCTAAACCCTAAACCCTAAACCCTAAACCCTAAAGCCCCGCACCCAGAGGGTTGAGGGTATCAGGAACGTAAATCTCTACACTCCGGAGGCCGCAAACCCCAACGCCAAACCCCGGAAACCCCAAAAACTGTCTTAGCCCTAAACCCTAAACCCTGGTTTAGAGTTTAGGGTTTAGGGTTTAGGGGCGCAGGCCCCAAGCCCTCAATGCGCGAGCCCAGGACAAGTTCCGGGGATCTGGCCAAGATGGGCCGGACTGATTATCATGTTTCGCCTTGACAGTTAAACCCTAAACCATAAACCCTAAACCCTAAACCCTAAACAGTTGGCTGTGGGAGGAGCCTTCTAGGTTCAGATCGGTTTAGGGCTTAGGGGTTTGGGGGTTTAGGGGATTTTGGGTTTAGGGGCCTAGGGGCTTAGGGGTTTAGGGTGCAGTGGCGGTTTCGGGGTTCAGGGTTTAGGGGTTTTGGGTTTCGGGGCTTAGGGTTTAGGAATAGAGCATGGGGGGTATGTTCTACTTTCATATACTTACGGGGTTTTCAGGGGCGAAATGGGGTATTGGGCTACATTTAGACTTTTATACACTAAAAAGGATCATTAGGGAATCGTGTCAATTACGCATAACTACGCCAAAATGAAGGTCATGGCCCTGTTCGAGGTTCAGGTTTTAGGATGTAGAAGTCAGGCTCGAGGGTTTAAGCTTTGGGTTTTAGCGTGTAAGGGGTATATATAGGGTTTCAGAATGCGCTGCTTCTGGGGTTGCGGGTTTGGGATGTCAGGGTGTATAGATCGCCCTCTAAAACCCTAAACCCTAAACACTAAAACCATAAACCCAAAACCCGAAAACCCTAAACTCTAAAACACTAAACCCAAACCCCTGAACCCTAAAACCCTAAACCCTAGAGCCCTAAAACCCAAAGCCCTAAAACCCTAAAACCCTAAAGCCCTAAACCCTAATGGGCTAGGACCTAAGGACTTTAAGGTTTCCGGGCAATTCTGGTCCCAGGGCCTGGGCTGCAAGGTTTAGGGTTTAGGGTTTAGGGTTTAAGGGGTTAGGGTTTAGGGTTTAGGGTTCAGGGACCTTAAAGAACCTACCTCTTTTGGGGGCTTCTTATTATGATTTCTTTATATACGTCCTTAAGAAGCTAGGTTATTTAGGGTCAAGGTAGGGCTTCGAGGATTCAGGGCGCAAGGTTGGGGGCCTAGGGCATTTTTGGTACGGAAGTCTATAGCTGTCAGATACTATAAAAGGGAATAATTAGGAACGTTGTTCCTTGGGTTCCTTACAATTACGATGCTAGAATGTACCCCACAAACCCTACGATAATCATTGACATTGAGGGCCCTAAACCCTAAACCCCGAACTCTAAACTTTAAGCCTTACAACCCTACGATAATCATTGACATTGAGGGCCCTAAACCCTAAACCCTAAACCCTAAACCCTAAACTCTGAACCCTGAAACCTACGTGGACCCTTGGGTTCAGGTCCCCCAGAGGATCCTTGGGCCGGCAGTAGCAGCGGTAGGGTTTCGGGTCTAGGGTCTAGGGTCTATAGGGTTTAGGGTCTATAGGGTCAGGGTCTAGGGTTTAGGGTTTAGGGTTTAGGGTTTAGGGTTTAAGGTCTAGGGTTTAGGGTCCAGGGTCTATAGGGTTTAGGGAGTTTAGGGAGTTTAGGGAGTTTAGGGTTTAGGGTCTAGGGTCTAGGGTTTAGGGTTTGGGGTCACGTAAAGGCCGGCGGCTCCTGGGAGCTCTTACCATATGACGGTCTCAAGGCTGCCATCAAACGCCCTTAGTACCCTAAGACCCTCAAAAACCAAGACTGCGGTTGACGATAGAAATCCTGCATTACCCTAAGGACCCTAAACTATCGGAATTATGGTATATTCCTTATTATGGGAAATGCAGGATTTAGATCATCAACCGTATGAGCTCTTAGAGCCTTAGATCTTTCAATATACGTCCTTGGAGCCCGGAAAAGCCCTACACCATGGGTCTGTAGAGCTTTGGCTTGGAGTTAAACCCTAAACTCTACTTGGCTGACTTCTGAACGCCTCCTAAACGTTAAACTTTTAGCCTACTTGTTATAGTTCATATAGAACCCAAAAAGTTAAAATCCGAAGAGCCAACCAAAAGAAAGCCAAGCCTAAACCGTTTTTGTATAGGGTTTCGGTTTCGAACTTGCGGCCTGAACCGGATTCCAGTTTTTGTAGCCGGTGATGCATTCGATTGCAAGCTTGCCGAAGAGGAAGTTTAACTCCTTGCCCCTAGCATGTCTGTCGAGCTACAGCGCTGCTTCCGCAAGAGGGCATGTTCTCGGCACCCTAAACCCCTAAACCCCTAAACCCTAAACCCCTGAAGCCTAAAGCCTAAACCCTAAACCACTGCGTCAGCATGACAAACATCCAGGCTCAGGAGTTGGGTCATGTTTACGGTTTTACCTGCAAAGCAGCTAGGATAGAATAAGTATGTCGAGCATCCAAGTAAACTAAACCCTGCACCCTAAACCGGCCTGGTGCGTGTTCTGCACTACCGGCGTTGGAGCGCCGCCTGGGCCAAAGAACACGGCTTCCTCTTCCAGGGTGTTACCGTTCAGGGCTTCGTCCTGGTGCTTTTTTTCGCCTGTACGGTTTTTAAAACTGAATAGGGATTACGGTTTAGGGTTTTTTAGAACTTATAAGGGTTTCAGGGCTTAGAGCTTATAGTGTTGGAGCTTTTGGGATGGGGTTCAGTTTAGGGTTTAGGGTTTAGGGTTTAGGGTTTAGGGTTTAGGGTTTAGGGTTTAGGGTTTAGGGTACCGGTTGAAGGTCTAAACCTACCCGAACCGGAATTCCTCAGCCCTGAACGCTGCCTTCACACCTAAACCCTGAACCCCAAAGCCAAAAGCCTACGCTAAACCCAAAACCGAAATGCCATGGGTGGAGAAAAAGGACCTAGTTGTCCGGCATTTTAGAACTACTACATACGGGTTTAGGGTTTAGGGTTTGAGGTTCCAAATTTACGGTCTAAGCTTCTGCCTAGGGTTCAAGGTTTAGGGCTTAAGGTTTAGAGCTTTGGGGTTGAAGGTTCCTTTTTGTATAAAGCTCCCCTAAACCCTAAACCCTAAGGGCATCGGGTGTAGGGAAGTGAAAGCCAGCACCCCTAAGGTTGAAGGCTTCTTATCCCACGACGGGGAGGATCACTAGGGATTCTAGGGTTTAGGGTTTAGGTTTCAGGGCTTGGGGGATCTTATTAAAAGGCTTGGTGTAAAGGAGCAGTTGCGTTAGTTTCGGCTTAGATGTATGTAAAGAAGTTGCTCTAATCTTGGATTACGGTTTAAGCTTGCTGCCTCCTCTAAAGCTCGAACAAAAGTCAAAAAGCACCATGTAGCATGGTTTCAGGACCGGTATACACACCCACAACCTGAAACTCTAACATCAAGCCCTAAGCCCAAAAAGTATAACGGTTCGAAACGTCTTTCCCTGCAGGGACACTCAGACCCCGACGATCCCACATGGTGGATATCGCGATGGCGGCTCACATGAAACGAGAGGCTCCAATTTAGGATGCGTTCGGGGTTACCTGAACCATGTAATTTCCTTTGTCAGGTTTATATAGGGGAAACCCTAAACCCTAAACCCTAAGATTCTGTAATCAGGTTTTTAGAACCCTAAACCCTAAACCCCAAGATTCTGTAATCAGGGTTTTAGAATCATGTACGTAGAAGGATTCTCTGAGAGTGCAGGCTTTGGAGTTTCTGTGCATCTCGAGTTCTGGGCTTCAAGGACTTTACGGCTTACGGTTTTAGGCCTTGTGGGGTCTTTGGGTTTTTTCGCGTCGGTGGTTGGTTTAGGGCTTACCTGAATCCCGAATGTATGTAGAAGAATAGCCTTTTGACGGTTTTGGACCATGATTTTACCAAGTGTTGGGGGCTTAGGTACAGGGTTTAAAGGTTTGGGGTTTTCGAAAGCGAAGGGGACTGGCAGTCAAGGATTCTTGCGGATGCATCTTCCATGTCCGCTAGGGATTGTCTTGGCTCCAAGCGCCCTGCGGGTATTTTTGAGCCATAGAGTCTGCAGGTCTGACACATGGGAGGATATGCAGGCGTCTCGAGAGCCCTGAACCCAAAGGAGCACTGCAGACTCTAAACAACCCTAAACGCTCCGTCTTGACACCATAACTGGGACCTAAGCCCTACACCCTGACCCCTAAACCACAATCTCTAAACCCCAAGCCCGAAACCCTATGAAAGAACCCTTCAAGGAACCCTTATCATCCCTGAAGGTATACTATACTATACTTTTAATAAGAAGCCCACCAAAATAGTATAATGTCGGGGCCTTCATATTAGAATAGGGTTTTGGGGTTCCTTAGTATATTTATAGTTTAATATATTGATTAAGGCCCCTATAACCCAGAGGCTCCAGATAGAGTAGCATTATGGAATTAGGTCCCTAAAACCTTAATAAGGATGGTCTTTTGGGACCTAGTTCCACAATGGTACTATATGTGGAGCCTCTGGGTAATAGGCAATTTTTTAGGCCCCTATATTGACCCGAGGCTCCCGAAAAACCCGAACACGCAGCCACAGCTGCGATTGCTCGAATACTAGGATGCCCAGTAACCTAGGAATAAAAAGGGCTCTCTTTTTGGTTTTGGGTAGGTTTAGGAGGAACCTAAGACCACATAAAGGGGAAAAGGGCCCACTGGGAGACCTATTAGGCCCGAAGCTTTTCGCCTCAGGGCTGAACAGCTTACGGTTTTGGGATATACGGGGACGCGGTGTGGGTTTAGGGAGTTTGGTTTTGGGGGTTCAGGTATGACGCTTTTAGGCTAGGGTTTAGGGATCATGGCTTAGGTGGTCAACCAGATCCTGATCTATCGTTGACTGCCAGAAGGTTGCAGGATCGCATCCATACCATGTCATCCTACGCAAGAGATGAGCGACCTGTAAACCCCTAAACCCTAAACCCCGAATACCTGGAACCCCAGCAGCTCCAACATAGGGGCGCTGCACCTCGCACACTTGGACTGAATTCTGATGTTCCTGCACCAGAGATGCAGGAGTTGGAGGTCAAAGTATGTTATTCGCGGTTTATGGTCAAAGTGGCGGAGGGGTTTATTGGCGGTCCATGGTCACTTCGTCCATGCAGGGTGCCAATCAATTACGTAGTCTGTGTCACGTGCCAGGTTGTTCTGCAGCAGATGTAGAGAACACACTAAAACCTAGCCTCCACTTGGAGGGTCGGGGGACTTAGTAACTATAGTTATTTTATAGACTTATAACGATCATAACCCCAATTAGGGTCCTTTTAGGGAAGGTATAAGTCTACTTATTACCTACTTACTAAGTCCCCCGACCCTCCAAGTAGGCCCCAACCCCTGACACACACTTCTCCCACGACGGAAATCGTTATGCAGCAGATGCCAGCGAGCTGGCCAACTCATGACCCGAAGTTGCAGCGTTGACTGTTTCCTGAGCCCCACAGCAGTGATACAACAAACTGACGTCGCCACCTTTCCCGACTGGTGGGTACAGTAGCATGGTACAACCATTTGGGGACTGTACGTGGATCTTGCTACTAAGTATTCCGACCTCCCCATGTTCCCAGATCTTCCAAAAAAACCCTAATTAAGGCATCTACCGTAAAGTAATGACTTAACGTACTTAGTTCGGGGCTGAGCACCCTAGCTCAAAAAAGGCTAACCAATATAGTAGGACAATATAAGGCCCAAAAGGTTAAAGGTTACCTACTCATCCCCGAAGAGTATATTCCCTCATTCAGGAGATTTGGAGTCCCTGAGTTGCACCTGAAGCTCTGGAAGTTTGGAAAGTGTCGGTGGTAAAAGTAAAGTAAATTCGGATCCGATACCCCGTCAGGCTCTGTCGAAACCTGCAAAACCCTAAGGGCCTATATACTTAAGCCTTAATGTAGTCAGCAGATGCGTACTTTAGGGTCAAAGTTTGCTCATATGGATACATGGAACCCTAAACCGTAAACCCTACACCCTAAACCCCAAACCTTAAACCCAAAACCCTAAACCGCAAACCCCCTAAACCCTAGACCCTAAACCCTAAACCCTAAACCGACTCATACGGAGACATGGACCCTTAGGGAA